AAGCCTGGAGAAGTAAGAGGGTAGAGGGGGAGGGCTCCGGGACAGGCAGTGAGTCAGGGACCCTGGCGTGCTGTGTGCGGGCGGGGAGGGGGTGCCCGCTGACGTGCCCTTGCCAGGCAGCCGAGTTCCCAGGAACTCCTGGGTGCCAGGCCCCGGGCCCCGGGCCCAGGGCTCCGCGGTCCCCCGCGCCCGCTTCCTGCTCCTCCCTCAGCTCCCTGTCTTGCTTTCTCTGGCTCTCCGCCCTTATCTCTGCTCTCCGCTCCCCTTTCCTTATCTGTCCCCTCGCCTGTCTCTCTCTGCCAGTCTCGTCCTGCGGCTGTCTCTTTCTCGTGTCTCTGTGCGGCCCGCTCCCCGTGTGCTGCCCGCCATGCTGAGTCCTCCCACTGCTCTCTCGCCGTGTGGTTCAGCCAGTCCGCGCGTGTTCGCGTCCACCCCGACCCAGCCTCGCCTTGCCCCTCTCCCCCATCCTGGGTCCCCCCTGAGGCAGGGAGGGGTTCGGGCATCCCTGACTGACAGCCTCTGTGCCTCTGCTTGCTCTGCCGAAAGGTGGCTGGGCAGAGTAAGGGTTGCTCCTTGAGTCTGGGGAAGGGGAGAGAGTGGCGTGTGTGTGTGTGTGTGTGTGTGTGTGACAACATGCCTGGGTCCAGACAGTGGCCCCTGAGCAGGTGTGTTTGGGCACACGGATCTGCGTGAGCCGGTGTCCTCGGTGCTGGGTGGGGCCGCGGCAGCCGAGCCTGCGCCTTTGTGGAAGCGACCCCATTGGTGAGCGTGGGCAAGAGAGGCTGGTGTGTAAGAGCAGAACACCAAGCCCAGAATGGACTTGTGTGTGCTCGTGGATGTGTGTGTGCACACATTCTCACACGTGTGTGTGTGCACGAGAGATATGTGCATACATGTGTCCGTGTGTGAGGGCGCACCTGTGTGCTCAGGCATGCACACACATGACTGTGGGAAGGCACATCTCTGTGCATACGTGTGTGCACGCCTGAGCGTGTGTGTGAGTTGCACGAGAGTGCGTGTGTGATGGTGTGAGGAGGCATGCACACACGTGCGTGTGTGACTGGGGAGGTGGGTCTGCGTGTGTGTGCAGGTGTGACTGTGTGTGGGGAGGGGGCCTCTGTGTACACATGTATGTGTGTGTGTGCGCATGCCTGAGCGTGTGTGCGTGACCAGGCCTGTGCCGTGAGTGTGTGCGTGTGCCTCTGAGCGAGGCAGGAGGGTACGGGAACGCGATGTGGGCCTGGCCTGCCGTGACTCCATGCCCTCTCCCCACAGCTACATCGAGAACGACCCCCGGCTACAGCGTCTGGAGGCCGGTCACCTGAGGGGCCTGGGGGAGCTGAGGAGCCTGTGAGGGGGCTGGGCCCGTGGGTGCGGGGCGGGTCCTGCAGGACCAGAGCGGCGGGATGGACGCCGAGGTCCTTGGGGCCCGGGTGGACTTGGGGGGCTGGGGACTGGCACCGGAGTTCGGGAAGCTCAGGGGTCCTGGGGGCTGGGAGGCTCTGAGGGGTGGGGGCGGCAGAGGCCCGGGCTGACCCCCGTCCCCTCCCCTAGCACCATCGTGAAGAGTGGCCTCCGCTCCCTGGCGCCGGACGCCTTCCGCTTCACTCCGCGGCTCCGTCTCCTGTGAGTGGCCCGGGCTGGGCGGAGGGGTGGGCGGCCACCCAGACAGGGGCGGCTAATGGGCCTGGCGCTCCCCGGGGACCTGTTCTGAGCAGGCTCCAGCCTGGGCCTCCTCTGCCACTTCGGGGATGGCCGTCTCGGCTCCCAGCCCTGCCAGCCGAGGTCCTCACGGTCTCTCTCCCCGCTTCATGCTGCCGGCCCCATTCTCTTCTCGGGGTTCAGATACACATCGGGGCTGGCCCGGCCGCGGCTTTACCTCCCAGCCCCTCCCCAGCCCTGGGGTAGCCTGGGAGCTGGGGTGGCAGGCCTGCCACTTGTCACCCTCCTCATTCCTGGGAGTCCCAGCTGAGGACAGGGAGAGGCTCGTGAAGGGGAGACCCAGTGGCCCCACCCCAGCCTCCCGCTGCCCCCAGCACGGGCGGTGGGAAGATGGGAAGGGAGATGGGGCCCGTCATTGGCGTGGCTGCGCTGGGGACTCTGACCGTCTGTCCCATCCAGTGATGTGGCAGCAGATGGGGAGCTGTCACGCCACTGACCCCGCACTGGGGACACAGTGACCATGTGAGCCCACCACACTAACACACTAATGCCAGCGAGTCTGCGCGGCCAGCCCGGGGGGAGAGGGAGTGCCGCCCCAGCGTGTAAACGAGGGTTCAGATCAGAGGGGTTAAAGGTCACACAGCTCTGAGTGGCAGGACGGAACCACACTCGGCTCTGCCTGGCACTGAGGTGGGCAGCCTGGCACCCCACCCCGACCCCCACCCGCTGTGGGACGGCCGGGTAAGTTGGGGGACAGCGCAGGCCCCCCAGGCAGAAGGTCTCAGGAGCGAGTCTGGTCAAGGCGCAGAGTGCTGGGGCTCCTCGGGCACCCCCAGTGACCTGGCGCTGCCCCCTCTAGTTCACTTCCTTCGGCTCTACAGCCGGGGGCTGGGCCTGGGGTCCCTTCCAGCGGACTCTTCTTAGTCCCTGAGGAGGGGGGTGGGACCTGAAAACACTGTCATCGTCGGGGGGCAAGGGAGTGCGGGAACCTCGGTCCTCCCCCCCACCCCCCGGCTGTCCTGGGCCCTGGGGGGAGGGGACACAGATGGAGCCCCTTCCCCAGCTGGGGCCTCAGCACTTTGCCAGCTGGGGCCAGGTGGGGAGGGGAGCAGCTGTTCCCTGAGAGCCCCTCCCTGGGGTCTGGGGGGGTTAACTGGAGTAAACCCTTATTGTCCCCGGAAGAGGAGGGGACTCGGAGAGCTAACCTGCCCCAACCCCGATGCCTCCAGCTGGTTCTCCCTGGGTCAGAGGAGGTCACTCACGGGCTCTGTCTGCTGCCCAACTCCCGCAGGAACCTGTCCTCCAATGCCCTGGAGTCACTGTCCTGGAAAACCGTTCAGGGCCTCTCCTTGCAGGAACTGTGAGTGTGGGGCATGAGGGGCTCGAGCGGCGCGTGTGCGAGCCTGTGTGAGTGTGTGAGTGTGCGAGCCTGTGTGAGCAGCACGTGTGAGAGCCTGTGTGAGCGTGTGAGTGACACTGTGTCACGGGGTCCATGTGGAACTGAGGGGGACCGGGGACTCCCTGTTTGTCCAGGAGCGGGGACTGGGGACTCCACGTACCTGCGAGCCTCTGTCCAAGCAGGGCTGCTGGCCTGCCCTTGGGGGGTCACTGGCCTGGGGTGTGTGGGGTGGAGGCTGGGCCGCGGGCCTGGATGACCAGTTCTGTGTGTGCTTGGGAGGCCGGGGGCTGCCCACTGCCTGGGCACATGAGACGTGTGTGCTTGGTGGACAGCAAGGCCTCTGGGTCACTCCTGGAGGCAGTGTCCTTCCGTCCACGACCGTGGCCTGGCTGTCCCCCGGGCAGCCCCGCCCGCTGACGGCCTGCATTGTCTTTCGAGTCCCAGCAGGGGCCAGGGGAGAAAGGGCCTTCTCCATCCGCGCCCCTTCCCCTCTGGCCGTCCCTCGCGCTGTCTGACTGCCCTCCTGTCACACTCCCCCGGGGCTCCTCAGGCCCCAGCCGCCCCGGCCTGACGCCCGTGTCCCTCCTCCAGGGTGCTGTCGGGGAACCGCCTGCGCTGCTCCTGTGCCCTGTACTGGCTGCGGCGCTGGGAGGAGGAGGGGCTGGGCCGCGTGTGGGAGCAGAAGCTGCAGTGTCTCCCGCTGGGGCCCCTGGTCAGCCTGTCCAACGCCAGCTGCGGTAGGGCCCGGAGGGGCGCGAGGGCTGGGCCAGGGCCGCGTGCTGGTCCCAGGGGGCAGCACCGCGGGCGGCTCTGAAGGAGGCCTGGGCACTGGGGGGCGAGGTTGGGCGCATTGCCTGGGGTGGGCTGGGGTCACCCAGGACAGTGGGGGCGGGGAGCAGTGCCTGAGGGCCGGGTTCCGAGGCCCCTCCCCCTCTAATGAGCAGGGGTGCCCGTGCTGAGGGTCCAGATGCCCAATGCCTCCGTGGGCGTGGGGGACGACGTGCAGCTGCAGTGCCAGGTGGAGGGGCGGGGCCTGGAAGCCGGCTGGATCCTCTCGGAGCTGGAGGAGACGGCCACAGTGACGGTGAGCAGCCCTGCCCCGCCACCATCCCAGCCCCTGTCCCCAGGAGAGACCTGGGCAGGGCACAGGGGACAAAGAGAGGGGAAGAGACCTCGACTGAGAAGCACGCCGAGGGCGAGGGGTGGACAGAGATGGTTAGACCCACAGGGCTGAGGCTCATGCTGTCCCCGGCACACACGTGGCCTCGGGAAGGGGGACCCCAGGACCCACCAGGACCTAGGGCCTCTGACTGGGAACATGGCACTGCCCGCGAGGCAGAGGGTCACAGAGCCCTCACACATGGGGGTCGGGAGGTCCCCACAGACCATCCCTCCGTCCACTCTCTTTCCAAACAAGGAGACGGAGGGCCGTGGCGAGGGCGCAGCACGTGTGCCCTGCTCCCAGCCGCGTTCGGGCCCTGGGCCTTCTGCGGGGGCAGAAGCGGCGCCCTCCTGCGGTGCAGTGAGCGGGTCTGAACTGCTCTAATCGGCCTGCATTTCCGTTTCCTTATCTGTAGACGGAGACGAACGTGCTGGCCTTCTGGTGTCCTGCCCGCCTCTGGGCACACTCTGGCCTCTGTCTCTGTCATTCACATGTGTCTTTGGGCACCATCCCAGGCCTGCCCTGTGTCCTCAGCCTGGCGACAGGCAGAGAAAATAGCCACAACTGACTCAGGAGGTTATGTTGACGAGGTCGGGAGGGGACAGCCATGGGCTGCGCCCACCCAGGAAGCTGTCCTCATGTTGGCAGACACACAGGGTCCAGCCCTTGGGGGGAGCCGGGCCACTGGGACCGGGGGTGCCGTTCAGTGGAAAGGCCCTCGGTTTAGCGGGGGTCAGTCCCGGAATTGCAGCCCTGGGTGGGGAGCCAGGGGATGTCCAGAGTGGGTGGGGGGACCATAAGGCATTGGGTGGCTCCCACGATTCAAGCCACCGAGAGTGAGCAGTGGCAGGAGACAGGGCAGAGGCAAGAGGTGGGCCTTGACCATCTGCGGAGGCACTTTAGATCAACCGTTCATTTGGGGAAATTCCAGGTTTTTGCTTTTTTCTTTGGGAGATTTACATGTTTGTTACTACTTGTGTTTTCTAGAAACTTCCTATAGAAAAGTCACACCCTTCTGAAACTAATATATAACAATATTGAATGTTAACTGTATTTGAAAAAACAAACAAACAGAAAACCGTCAGGAAAAAAAAACAGGAAACAGAAAAAAATAAGATAAAAGTCACACCGTAACTGGCTTAAATGTGGGGGGTCGGGGGAGGCTGGTCGCCCTCAGGCCCGTGAAGGGTGGCAGAGCAGATGCCCAGAGAAACTTCACCTCATCAGGCTTCGCTCAAGGGACCCCACGCTTAGAATTTCCGGATAAGGGAGATTCGTCCACTGCTTCATCTATTTTCATTGTTTTGTGAAAGTAGCTTTCGAAAATGTCAAAAGATCGTCTACCTCTTCCATTTCCGAAACAAGGAAACCACGGCTCAGCAAGATTAAGGGTTGTCTTAAGGGCACATGACTCCCACACGTCCCTGGCTTCTCAGGAAGAGAATCCGAACCTGATTCAATCTTTCGACGATGACTCAGAATGAAGTCACTTTGCCTCTAACTTCAGTTTCTTTCTTCATCTGCCAAAGGCGGTTGTGAGGCTACTGTTGCTTCTGCCCGGTGCCCTGTGTCTGAGCCGCGGGGCTGAGGCTGTGTTGGCACTGTGTGGGGAACAGGAGCCAGGTGGCCAGGTCCTAGCCAGCGCTCTGGGGAGTCGCGTGCATTGGGTACCTGGGATCTGCGATATCGATTTCGCTGCTCAGATGGGTGGTTTTGGTTCGGGGCATTTCATGCCTGTTTCGAGGTTATCGGTTATGTTCTACACTTTCAGATCATTAGGTAAATGATCGGGGGGACAGCCTGTGAACCAGGTCGACGACCCTCTCCCTCCCCTCCCCCAGCCCGCCGTCTTTTCCATCTGGAGCCAGAGGACTCCCAAAGATACCAGCCCCGGCCCCCAGTCTCCCCCCGGCCAGAAGCTAGCTGACGCCCTTCCTGATTTCCCCCTCTTCCCTGACACAGGAATCTGGGGATCTACCATCCCTGAGGCTGACCCTGGCCAATGTCACCAGTGACCTCAACAGAAAGAACGTGACCTGCTGGGCGGAGAATGACGTGGGTCGGGCGGAAGTCTCCGTCCAGGTCAACGTCTCCTGTGAGTCCCGACGCCCGCCCGGCACCCGCCCCCAGCCCTTCCTCCCTGAGAAGCGGGCACGAGGGTGGGGGCTGGATGGCGGGCGGGAAGCATGTCTCCACAGCTGCTCCCTCCCAGCTGTTTCCAGATTCCCATGAAAACCTGATCCTTTGGAGGAGACCCTCCGGCCCGTCAGGGCCAGAGGGATGGAGATGGATTTCTTTTTGGCCCCCTGCCCAGGTCTGGCTACCTGAGGCCCGGCCGCTCCGCTGTGGTTCTTCAAGCCTGTCCCTCTGTCCCTCCACGGGACCGGAACCCTGCAGACTGGTTCTAAAAGAAGCAATTCCTCTCCCCAGTTCCTCTCCGCCTAATTTCTCTAGGTCTGCCAACGAGTGGCCTTAAATTGTCTACGTTATCTAACTTTCCTTCTTTTAATGCAAAGCATGGCATACATAGACCAGTGCATAAACCGTGTCCGCTCTAAACGAGTTATTCTCAGCAGCGCGGGAGCAGACACGCCCCTCATCTGCCATTCTCAGCCCGGTCGCCTCCCCGGCCCGGTCCTGCCGTCCGCGATAGTCATTTCGTTGCTTTTAGAAACGATTTCGTGCGCCCGCGCTTCCCCATCCACACTGTGGGGTTTCGCCTGTTCCGGCGCGTTGTCCGTGGACTCGTGCCTCATGTGCGATCTTGTGTCCAGTGTCCTCCGGTCACATGGTCTCTGTAGGGCCCGCCCACGCGGATGGGAGCCGCTGGGCTCCACGCAGTTCCCGGGAAGGGCACCCCACTGCGTGAGCGCTGGCTGGGGTTCCGACATAAACCATCCACTTGTGTGTGCAGACGCATACAGATCCATATTTTTTCTATTACTGAGGGGCTTTTGCCTCTTTCGGGTTGAGTCTATTTCAAAACCGTGTCTTCTTTCAAAAAGGTTTTAAACTGTTTTTTTTTGCTCGTTTGATGGTTAGGCGTCCTCCCATCTCCTTAAGCTTGATTCCACGTAACTTTTTCTGGCCCCTTCGCCCAAAAGACTCCACGCTTAACTTCCCGAAGCTGCTGCCTCGCTTCTCTAGGGCCGTTACTTACTTACTGATTTACTAGCAATCTTCTTCAGAATGCCTCGCCCGCGCCTCGCCCGCGCCTCGCCCGCTGGCCGGTTTCTCTGAGCCCAGCAGCTGCTCTCCGCCCGCCCCAGGCCGCGGCCAGTCGCGCAGCGCGCAGCTGCCCCTGACCCCCGGCGCCTCTCTCCGCCCGCAGTCCCGGCCAGCGTCCACCTGCACAAGGCGGTGGAGCTGCACCACTGGTGCATCCCCTTCTCCGTGGACGGCCAGCCGGCGCCCTCCCTGCGCTGGCTGTTCAACGGCTCCGTGCTCAACGAGACCAGCTTCATCTTCACCGAGTTCCTGGAGCCGGCGGCCAACGAGACCATGCGGCACGGGTGTCTGCGCCTCAACCAGCCCACGCACGTCAACAACGGCAACTACACGCTGCTGGCCGCCAACCCCTCGGGCCGGGCCGCCGCCTCCATCATGGCCGCCTTCATGGACAACCCTTTCGAGTTCAACCCCGAGGACCCCATCCCCGGTGCGAGGGCCACCCTGACCCCCGCCCGCGCTCCCCGGCCGCCGACCCCTGGGTACAGATTGCGGTGTGGGGAGGCCCCGCCCACTTCCCGCTGTGACCCTCCCCCCCAGGTGGGCGTGCTGGTCCCCTGGGACAGGGGAGCCCGGAGTGCTGGTGTCCAGCCCCGTGCTGGCCTCCTCGCCCCGCCCTCCGCCACGCCCCAGGCGTCCCAAGCCCCTGAGCTAGTCCGTTCTCTGGCCTGGCCGCACAGAGCCGCGTAGCGGGTGGACCCCGGCCCGGATGGAAAAGGGCCACCAGGTCCCATCTTCCTGTCCCACCCCATCCCCAGCCCATGACGGGGTGAGTCCCGGGGGGAGGGGACTCGCTCTCCTCCCCGACCTGACCGCTCTCTCTCCTCCCTCCTGCCGCAGTGTCCTTCTCTCCAGTGGGTGAGTAGCCCAGGCTGGAGGCAGGTTGTGTCTGGGCCCTGGAGCTGAGGCTGGGCAGAGGGTACAGTTGACCCGAACCCCAAGGGGCGAGGCGGGGAGCTGCTGGAGGAGACGGCATGTGCCAAGGCCCATCTTCCTGCCTCGTGTCCCCACAGACACCAACAGCACGTCTGGAGACCCGGTGGAGAAGAAGGATGAAACACCTTTCGGGGTGAGCATGGGAAGCGGGGGCTTGTCCAGGACCGGGCACAGGGAGGCCGGGCTACAGGCTCGTCTGCATGTCACTTCCGGGCAGAGCCTGGGGATCACTGCAGCCTGGCTGAGCCCAGCCAGTCCCCAGGGGCGGAGCGGGCAGCTTTGGGGGCCTGGCTCTGGGTGGGGGACTGCCGCGGGGGCCCCAGATCTGACTGCTCCGCCCTCAGGTCTCGGTGGCCGTGGGCCTGGCCGTCTTCGCCTGCCTCTTCCTTTCCACACTGTTTCTTGTGCTCAACAAATGTGGACGGAGGAACAAGTTTGGGGTCAACCGTAAGTGGAGGGGCTTCGAGGGGCTTCAAGGGGCCTCGAGGGGCTTCGAGGGGCCTTGAGGGACTGTCCGTCGGTCTCTCCTGCCAGCTCAGGTTCCTGCCGGCTCCTCTGGCGGGGTGGGGCGGGGTGCCGTGCACATGCGGAGTTTGGGGAGTGTGCGTTTGGGGTGTACGAGGGTCTGGCTGTGTGGCTGTGTGTGTGAGTGTGTCAGGCTGGTGCTGGGGAGCTTCAGAGGTAGCAGATGCTAATTGGTGGCTGGACTGCAGTCAAACGCTAAGTGGGTCTGGGAGGTCTGGGCTCTGTGGGGGGGCCGAGGGGGAGTTCTTGGTGGCCCCTGGGGCCTCGGGTTGGACCGGAGCCAGAGGAGGCCACAGCGCCTCCCCTCCCCCTGCTGCCATCTTGTTTCTCCCCCTGCAGATCACAAGGTGGGGTTCCCTGGCACCCAGCAACCTGGCAGGGGTCAGGATGTGTGCCTAGGCTGTGACCCCTCCACATGGTGCTGTGTCTCCTCCCCAGGCCCCGCTGTGCTGGCTCCGGAGGATGGACTGGCCATGTCACTGCATTTCATGACGTTGGGTGGCAGCTCCCTGTCTCCCACTGAGGGCAAAGGCTCCGGGCTCCAAGGACACATTATCGAGAACCCACAATATTTCAGTGATGCCTGTGAGGGGCTGTGCTGGGTCAGGGTGGGGACAAGCCTGTGTGCACGTGTGTGCATGTGTGAGCGTGTAAGCCTGTGTCCTTCCCCAGGCCTGAACACACGTCCCCTCCCAGTCCCGCCCTGTCCACACCGCGGGGGGGCTTGGGGACAAAATGAAGGCTCCACTCAGGCCCAGCCCCTGGCTGGCACCCTAGTGCGGGGCACAGTCTGCCGACAGCCCTCCGGTCTGACCCGCGACCCGCCCCCCCAGGTGTCCGTCACATCAAGCGCCAGGACATCGTGCTCAAGTGGGAGCTGGGCGAGGGCGCCTTCGGGAAGGTCTTCCTCGCCGAGTGCCACCACCTGCTGCCAGAGCAGGACAAGATGCTGGTGGCCGTCAAGGTACGACCCTGGCCACCGTCCCAGGGCAGGGCGCCCGGGCTGGGGGCGCTCACGACTTGCAGCTGGCCGGGGGGGCCTTGCGTGCGGGGAGCTGAGGGCCGCTCCTCCCGCATCCATCCCCCCCGCAGGCGCTGAAGGAGGCGTCTGAGAGCGCGCGGCAGGACTTCCAGCGCGAGGCCGAGCTGCTGACGGTGCTGCGGCACCGGCGTCTGTGCGTGGCGCACGGCGTCTGTGCGTGGCGCACGGCGTCTGTGCGTGGCGCACGGCGTCTGTGCGTGGCGCACGGCGTCTGTGCGTGGCGCACGGCGTCTGTGCGTGGCGCACGGCGTCTGTGCGTGGCGCACGGCGTCTGTGCGTGGCGCACGGCGTCTGTGCGTGGCGCACGGCGTCTGTGCGTGGCGCACGGCGTCTGTGCGTGGCGCACGGCGTCTGTGCGTGGCGCACGGCGTCTGTGCGTGGCGCACGGCGTCTGTGCGTGGCGCACGGCGTCTGTGCGTGGCGCACGGCGTCTGTGCGTGGCGCACGGCGTCTGTGCGTGGCGCACGGCGTCTGTGCGTGGCGCACGGCGTCTGTGCGTGGCGCACGGCGTCTGTGCGTGGCGCACGGCGTCTGTGCGTGGCGCACGGCGTCTGTGCGTGGCGCACGGCGTCTGTGCGTGGCGCACGGCGTCTGTGCGTGGCGCACGGCGTCTGTGCGTGGCGCACGGCGTCTGTGCGTGGCGCACGGCAGCCGCTCCTGCATGAGGTCGTCGCGCCAGCGGCAAACGCACCAGGCAGGTCTGCGTTCCAGCTCGGTTAGGTGCTCCACGGCCGTTCTCACGGTGGCTGTCTGTGTCGCACCCACATATCTGCGTCATCACATGCTACGTGTGTATTTTTTGTACTCTCCAAGCAGACGTGGCACGTTATAGGTGAGGAAAGTTACCAAAAGTCGGTTTGTTTGGTTTTGGATGCAGCGACTCTGACTTGTGCGAATCATTTCAATAACTTCGAGAAATGAGCCCATTTCACAGATGAGGCTTGGCGAATTTAGGTGACTTGCCCAGGGACCGTAGGTAGTAAATGACCCCGGGGGGTAGGACGCCAGGCAGAGCCCTGCTTCCAGCCCTGACCGTGATGGCCACATGTTCCGAAGGCATGAGTCCCCATGACGACAGGCCCCCGTGAAGATGGGGTTGTGTGAGGATGGCCCCCCCATCAGGATGGGCCCCCGTGAGGACAGGAGAGGCCAGGGTTGGGGTTGGCTGCGACGTCTTAGCTGAGCCTTTTTTGCCAAGGAGCTTTCTTTTCTGACCTCAGCTCCGCACCCGGCGCCATGGTCCAGCACTGTGTGACTGTCGCCGGTGGTTGAGCTTTGGTCCCGAAGCATCCCCTCGGGAGTGCTAGGTCATTTGTGTGGTCAGGCTGTAGGAGTCAGCTGGGAGAGACCCTGGAGTCTGGGCCTCTGTAGGTGGGGAGGGGCTGCTGGACGGTATGGAGCGGGGGGAGGCGGTGCCACCCCCGGGGATGTGTGCTGGGTGGACTGGCTCGGAGGAGGTGAGCCAAGAGGAGCCAGAGTGGGGGCTGTCGGGGCCCAGGCGGTGGGAGACATGGCTCGAAGGCTGGATGGAGCAAGGGGAACCAGAGGGGGCCGTGCAAACGCCTACACAAGTCTGGAAGACTTCCTGTAGGAGGAGCCCTCTGTTCCTCCTCATCTCTGGGCCTTGGTACCCAGGGTTCCCTCTGCCTGGCACACCAGGCCTCCCTCCCAGCCACTTCACCCACCCCTGTCCCTGACCCCTTCGAATGGCTTACCCACCTCTATTCCTCAGGGCTGGAGTCTCGGGTAGATGTCTCTTCCTCCAGGAAGCCTCCCCTGACTTCTTCCATCCCTACCCATCCCTCATACCGCATCCTACTCTCTGCCGTAGCTCGGGTGCTTGGCACGATGGAGATGTTTGTCAGATTCCTGGAATAAATGCAGAAATAATCGGATGAGGAGAAAGCTGGCCAGTAGGCAAGGGTGGTACAGGCAAAGCCATCAGCTCAGGCAAAG